TACACATCAGCTTGGGCCAAGTAAACCCAATACCTGTTAGTTATCTTCAAGCGAGTTTTAGTCGTGTGTACTCTCTGCTTAGATTTGAAACTATAGTACTATACGATGAAAGTGGAAGTCCTTCCTCAGCAGATGTAGTAAAATGTACTCTTCGTTGTGCGGTTTAAGTGCACACTTTATTGGTGTATCTCTTAGATCTGCCTGTGAAGATACTGGCTTTCAAGTGTCAATGAGTAGCCAGTAAGCACTAAGTGTGTATGGGGTCTACAGGTCATGAGGGCCTGGTTTGTTCAACCAGACATATACACTAGATTAGTCTAGTTGTGCTGAACATTTAAAACGTATCAAAGATATACCAAACACATTTGACACTGATCCCCTTCATACCTCAAGAAAAGTACTGAATTGTATGATATTCTTGAGTATAATGAAGTCCAAACAATCTATTGAGCTTATGCTCTCTGCTTTTATAGTAAGGGCCTCTCACAGTGCAGTTACCTCCTATGCTAGACTCTATAAGTCAGTTAGAGGATTCAAGATCTGATGAATTTTCAAACCAGATCGATCCAAATGGCAGTTTATAGTACGACTGTGGAGCCATTTGTAAACACTGCTTATCAGATCTACAAACTCAGAATTCTGTAACTCAGTGATGATTGGCTTAAAGATACACTTAGAATAGGAATTGGTTGTGAGAGCACAATCTCTCGAAGCCAATTCTTTTCAAGAGCAAAAAAACTTTGAAATCTTCCTGATTTGCACATTTCTGAGCTCTATTCGACTCATTTCTACTCTAAAATCCCCATAATTTCCCTTAGATACGCTAAGATTAAACACAATGGCTTACAGACCCCAAAGACTCCCGTCATGAGCCCGTCACATATGGGCATCCAATCCACAGCTCCACTACGTATATCTCAACCACCAGAAGGGTTATTGCGATAACAGTTTGATAGTAGAGATGAGAAACATTATATCTCCTGAATAGAACCTTTCAACCCTCTTTTTGGGCCTGCGATGAATAGTTGCATTGTAATCTTTAAATGGGAAGAGCGAGCTTATAACAAAATTGCACAAGAGATATATCTTGAGCTAGCTTTTGAGCTAGCTTCACCACTAATGATGATCAAAACACGTGAATTACACCACTAGATAGAGCGAGCATATCTCTCTCCCTATTTATTAAATTTACTGTTTCGTATGTTGTATCACTACTTAATATTTATATGTATCATGTAGAGTGTATATGTACGGGCTAATACACACCCTATGCACCAGAAAAAAGAGGGCACCAGAACGGGGGTTGCGGGTGCTTGTGAATTGATCATGTCGATTGAAATGACAAATTCAGTAACAGCTACCAGTATCATCACGATACATGGATATGTCGTGAGGTGCAATGATATGACGATTGTTAGACCTTATGTAATGACTTAGCTCAGGGTAATTGCCGACATCCGTCAAAGTAAGAGCAATTTCAAGGTTTGTGATATCTGCCAATCCCCAGTTTATTGGAACGAATGTAGGACAGAAAAATCATAGATGCCCTTTCAAACAGTTTTAACAATGACGAGAGAATACAGAAACACTGTAGTACGCCATAATTCCACAGGGGTTTCAATTGATTTCACTTGAACCGTGTAGTGACATTACTATTGAAGATGAAACACAAGAAACAGCACCAAGAGCTCTGAACGTTTACATAAGCTATATTCAAAAAAATGTGGACAGTAATACTCGTGGCATCGTCTACAGTCACATTACAGAGAGAGAGAACCTTTGCATATGACCTGAAATGGTCAGCCAGGTTTGATTTTAATCCAGCCCATTAGGAAAACATAAAACATACCCATTTACTCTCCGGAGAATATTGTCATTTGCATAGGCATATAAGACTTGACAAAGCCTAAACAGGTTCTATAAGCGAGGGTGATTCGGGGTTCACAGGTGAAAATTACAATGCTCCTTCCTCTATGAGCTTAGCAGCAACGGTTCTGAAATCAGCCAATACACCTGGCGAATGAGGGAAGCTCTGAACCTGGTGACTATCTAAAAGTTCGGGTTCAATCTCGTAGCTCGCAGCTAGGGGCTCTATATCATCTTCAGTTGAGGTGAAAATGGTCCTTGCAAATACGCCTCTCTAACATTGTCTAAGCACTCTACTCTATTCATAATGAGACACATGCTGTGTCATTGAAGCACTCCAATTTCAGCTTCAGCAAGTTCTCCATGGATATTTGACCAAAAGAGGACAATGTACCTATGTCTCGTATTCCATCTTCGACCCTCTTCTGCTATGCATCTGTAGGCCTTTCCCGTTCTTTCATCTTCTTCACATCTGTCTTCAAATCCAAATATTGGAGACGAATGTGTCCTCTCTTCCTCAGTGCTACCAGCACACTCTCTAACAAACAACAGAAGAACAATCTGGTTATTGGCAATTTTGAGAGCCGAGACATGGGGAAGAATTATGTCTCGAACTTGCATGAAGATGCAAGCAGTTATGAGCCCAAACATAATTCTAATATGAACGGGGATCTTTTCCACTTGCTCCCGGCTCCAATTCAGCAGTGGAATTTACCCCGTAAGCTGGTTTTATATGTTACAATTGTGTCTAAGAGGCTCCAGAACAGTTCCATATAGATCCGTAAGAAAGATGCACGTTCAATATTTGCCTATGCGTTGGGGCAGAGGTGATAACTACGCCTATTTGATAACCGATGAGTCAACCAAGGATTCATGGCTTATCGACCCTGCCAATCCAGAGGACATTCCAGAGGAGACATTATCGAAGGTTAACGTTGTTAACATAGTGAACACTCATCACCACTATGATCATGCTGGTGGTAATGGCCACTATAAAAAGCTTTTGAAGGTTCCAATTGTTGGTGGGAAGGACTGTCCTTCCGTTGATGTTGTACCACAGGATGGTGAAAAGATCCAATTAGGGTCGAATTTGGAAATCACAGCCATCCATACTCCTTGTCATACACAGGACTCTATCTGTTATTACTTCGCTGACAACAAGACCGGTGAGAAGGCTGTGTTTACAGGCGATACCTTGTTCACTGCAGGCTGTGGACGTTTCTTCGAAGGAGAGCCGTCCGAGATGGTCACCAGCTTAAACAAGTTGGCACAGCTACCAAGGACAACTGTTGTTTATCCAGGTCATGAATATACAAAGGGTAATGCTAAGTTTGCCCTGAGTGTTATGGATAATGAACCACTGCGTCAATTGATGGACTACTCTGACAAGAACGAATTCACCACTGGCAAGTACACGATTGAAGATGAATTGGCCTTTAATCCGTTCATGAGATGCGACGATGACGAGTTGAAGGCAAAGTTCCACTGCTCAGATGACATTCAACTGATGGGACTGTTCCGTGAGATGAAGAACAACTTTTAACCGTATCGCTCTTCATTTAAAAGGGGGAGCTATCTATTTAAGTCTATAATCTAACAGTGACATATGGTGGATGTAGGAGAACAAATCAAAACCCCAACAAGTTAGAGCTATTGCTGAGAAATTGTAACCTGATCTCTATAAAGCCTTCATAAACGTAACGTAAACAAAGAGCTTCACTTGAACACTTCATATCACTCCGCTGTCCACGCCTTTGACCCAAAGAGAATGAAGATCAAAGGTTCTAATAAATTTCAGAGTAAATCTATCTGAAGAAGGGAAAAGAGAAGGGGAGGAAGATGAGAATTGGACTGAAAGGAGAAAACTTTTCATCTTTATATAGAGGTCGGTGTTTCTAATGTCCGGGTGTGTGGGTGTCCGGGTGTGCACTGTGTTTGGGTGTGCGGGTGTTTCGAACAAGGTTCCGATAAACTTCCGTTAGGGGAGGTGTTGATACCTCCCACAACTTGTTGTTCATCTTCAATTGCAACAACAGTAAGAGCTCAATTAGGTTGGAAACGATGACTAAAGATACCAAACACGAGGAAGAAGGCGAAATCCTGGACGACGTCCTGAGTGATGAGGAGGCTGTTGCTGAGGAGAAGAAGCCAGCGGAGAAAGAGCCTGAGGTTGACACTGGGGCTTCTTCCAAGGGTGAAGATAAAGTTGAAGCTGTTGCTGTTGAAGCTGAGAAGAAGGACAAGGAGGAGGCTAAGATTGAAACCGCAGCTGCAGCTACTAGCGATACGAAGGATGCGAAGGATGCGAAGGATGTAAAGGAAGTAAAGGATGTGAACGATGCGAAGAAGGAGGACAAGGAGGAAGTTCCACCACCAAAGCCTGCCAGACCTTTGACTCCACGCCAGGAGGCCATCAAGTCCTTGAAGGAGGCATTCCCAACAGTGGAGGATAAGTACATCACGTCTCACCTGATTGCCTCCAACTTCCACCTGGAGAGTGCATTCAACGCGCTCTTGTATTTGTCTGATCCTGATAGCGTCAACGTTGATGAGCTCTTGGCCACTACTGAAGAACTACAACCACCTTCATTGCCACAACGTCGTCAGGAATTGACCCAATTAGAGCAGGACGAACTGCTGGCCAAGCAATTGGATGAAGAGTACAGACATAAGGAGGAACGTCGTGCTCGCAGACAGAGGGAGTTCAGAAGAAGACGTCAAGAAGGCGAGACACTTGATGACGATGATGAAGATGACGTGTTTACAAACTTTGTGGAGAAGGATTTGCCCCAGATGAAAGAACAGCTCTCCAAGAACATCGAAGAGACAAAGAATAAGTTCAACAACTGGGTCAGTGGCTGGAAGAAACAGTACTCCGACTCTCAACAGGAGCTGAACAACAGACAGATTAAGAAGCAAGTCAGAGAAGAGTTTGAACAGGATCCTGAGGAGGTTGACTTACAGAAATTCCATGGTATCAAGCTAAGCGATGACTCTGAGCCAGTGACTAAGACCAAATCAATTAAATCTACATCATCGAAGGGTTCCAATGAAACCGTCGGAAGAAATAGGGCCTTGTCGACTGATCTTTATGGAACTCCAAAGCACTCTCAAAAGGATAAGAAATCATCAACAGTTAACGAAGATGACGATGACTTTGACCTGAGTGATGCAGCTTAGCTGGCCTCGTATGAAATTGTTTGTAAAGTTGCTAATCTGAACACATCTTTTTTTTACGATACCTTTCCGTACGGTCTATCACTTAATCAGCATACAATTTAGTGAGATAAACAGAACCTGATACTCTACTAACACTTATCTTCCAGTTATCCAGGAGCTTGATCAATAGAGAATAGTTAATGGTATTAAATTATCAATAATAATTGTGTTACACTATTTGCAACTTGGTCAACAAGACAAGTTACAATGTGCTTCAAATATATGAGTTCAAGCAGAGGAGGAAGAGCTTTCATTTCCGGCCTCATCACCGGCTCTCTTCTCATCGGATTCAACTTCCTTAGTGCCTCCTGGGGAAGATGGACTTGGAGCTGCAAGCTCTTGAACAGCATTGTTGCTCTTTGGAACTCTTGCCCACCAATAAAAGAAAATGGCAGCACCAATGTTGAAGATGATATAGATCCACATGAGACCCAAGTTTCTCCACTTCTCAGAGTACTTGATGTCAACAGAGTTGAGCCAATCATCCGTACTGGTCAATGGACAGAATGTACAATGTTCAGTAGCGTTAGGGTCTTCAAGGTAACCAGTGCCAGCAGCTTTGAGGTATGGCTCAAAGTACTCACCACAGGTTAAACCATCAGGTGGAACAACGTGTCTGAACTCTTCATCAGAGCACTCCACTGTCGAGTGTGCAACAGCATTGGACAAGTATCCAGAGACAAAGTACGTCATCGGAGACACTCTGTACATGAACTTCCAGAATCCTGGAAGTTCACTCTTGGTAACCAAGACACCACAGAAGGTAACACACATGGTGAAGAGCAAATAGGCAATAGTACCAGCCATATCCTCCAATTCAATTGGAGCAACACACATGTGACCCATGGTACCAATGTACACGTGGAACATGACACAGAAGAACCAAGCATAGAATCCTCTTTGGTTCACCTCAGTTGTGCCATGAGAGTTGTGGTAGAAGCCGGCTGGATAGTACCAGCAGAAGAAGGCAACAGTACCAATGAAAGAGTTCCATGGAATCTCAGAGACGATTTGGGAAAGCATAAAGGCCTTCCAGGAGAAAGCCTTAGATGGACGTTCTCTGGTTTCGTAAAGATCTCTGGAGTCGACATAAGTTGGCAGCATCTGCTGAAGCAATGGATTAAAGATAGTGATAAACATCAAAACCGAGAACATCTGGTTTTGAAGACCTTGCAAACTCGAGTCAGCGTTGAAGAAGATGAAACCAATGAAGAGAGCAGAGGATATAGACAACAGCAATTTGGACCAAAGATAAGCTGGGGTTCTGAAGGTCTGTTGGAAGACTCTTCTCAAGACCAGGACAAACTGCACATAGAACGGAGCAGCAAACTCCCTATGACCAACAGTTGAATCATATGGCAGCTTAACCAGTTCCCTTTCCATATAGTCAAGTTCTTTCAACACCTCCTTACGCTCATCAGATTCCAACCAAACTTGATGGTAGTCTTGGTTAGCGTGAGAACCAGGAGCAGCACCAATGACGTGAAGCATCCACTCAGCAGGGTTAGCCTCAGGTGGACACTTTGGAGAGCCATGGCTTTCAAAGTAGTCGATCAAAGTCTGGGAGTTCTTACCCAAATCACCAAAATAGATAGTACGACCACCTCTAGCCAAAAACAACAATCTATCAAACTCTTGCATCAAGATGGCTGAAGGCTGGTGAATGGTACACAAGATAGCCTGTCCATGATTGGCGAGCTTTCTCATCAACTGACAAATCGACCAAGCAGTTTGGGAGTCCAAACCAGATGTTGGCTCATCAAAGAACAACAGAAGCTTTGGCTTAGCAGCAAGCTCAACACCAATTGTCAATCTCTTTCTCTGCTCAACGTTCAAACCTTCACCAGCAACACCGACAACGGCATCAGCATACTTTTGCATATCCAAGATCTTGATGACTTCTTCAACGTACTCGTCCTTCTCTTGCTTAGAGACTGTGTCAGGTTGTCTCAAGTAAGCAGAGAATCTCAGTGCTTCACGAACAGTGTCGGTAGCCAGGTGCAAATCTTGTTGCTGAACGTAACCAGTAGATCTCTGGAAAGAAGAGTCTCTCAAGTGACCGTTGACAAACATACTACCGGTGACAACACCCATAGTGACACGACTAGCGAGGACATCCAACAAGGTAGTCTTACCAGCACCAGATGCACCCATCAGGGCAGTCAGAGTACCAGGTTTGACCCAACCATCGACACCAGATAAAATCTCACGGTATTCAGACTTGATCTTCACAGTGTAATGGACATCTCTCCAGTGGAAGATGTCTTTACCGGCTTGGATAGCATCAACGTTGACGTCCTCCTCCTCAGGTTCCTCTGTGATATCACGCTCTTTACCGGCCTCAATATCGTTCTTGGCCTTGTCCTTCTTCAGCTGTCTCAAAGTGGACCATTGGAACAGTAAAACTTCACCCTTCTGCTTCGCAGACTCGTTGTACTCAGAGAACAACATGTAACCAAGCAACAGGACAAAGGTATACACAAGAACAATGGCAACGTTTCTCCACTTATGAGTGTTTCTATAGTCGTAAGCCAGGTCCAAGTAAACTTCACCTTTGACAGTGAGCTCTCCAGCAACAGCACCAACTGCGTTACAGATCCAGGACTCACCAGCCAACTCTGGGTGCTGGCGTGGATCAGCTGGCAGGAAGAGCGAACAGTCAAACTCACGGTTGTGGAACTCATTGGCCATCAATGCCTCGAAGACGTATGCCAGTGGATTGATGTAATTCATCCATCTACACCAGCCAAGCATGTACGTTGTCGGGACAGTGAAACCAAGGAGACCAACAAGACCAACCAGGATGATATGAGCAGGAACTAATGCCTGAGCCAAACTATTAGACATCGAGCCAATCAATCTGAAAACATGAGACATGGTGAGTGTAGACAGCAAATTGACAATCACGTAGAAGAAGAAGCGTCCTGCATTTCTTCTGAAGTTAACCATGAAGTAGTAAATCAGGTTGAATGCAATGGCAATGAAGAGCTTGAAAGGGAACTGGGAGATAACAGAAGCTAGGGCATCAGCAGAAGGATGGTACAAGGCAAACTGCTTGTGCTTCTCAATGATAGGTCTGGCTTCGAACAGAGACATGATTTCCAGGAAAGAAGAGAAGGAGTTGAACAAAACAGCCAGGAACATAGCAGCACCTCTGTAGTAGAAGGAATGGGTATCGTTCTTCAGGTTATAGAAGATCGATGATAACACAAGGGCCATCATCGAGTTGGACAAGGCAGAAAACGCATGGAAGTAGAAGTCGTTCTTGATTCTCTGGAACTCACGAGCCAAGAGGTATCTCACTTGCATTGCAAATGAGACAGTGTATGGAGACTGCTTTCTCATGTTCTTCGCCTGTCTGGCATGCTTAGCAGACAGTGCACTTTCCCTGGTAGAGCCATGTGAGTTCTCATGGAGAGACTCGTCAATCTCCTTGATCAGCTGGGCATACTCTGGAGACTTCTTCCAGTAAGCTTCAAACTCCTTTGCAGTTCTTGGGACCTTGTCTTCGAAACCCTTCTGAGCAACACGTTCTCTTGGAGATGTAACAGAAGTTAAGAAATCAGCTGTGGTTTGACGTTGTGGACATTCCCAGCCCATCTTGATGAAGTACTCCTTGGCCTTATCACCTCTGCCGAAGAAGATCTGGTAACCGTCGTACAACACTGACACCTTGTCGAACAAATCGTAAGCATCTTGAGAACATTGGTAGATAGCAATGATAGCAGTGGTGTCCAAAACATCAGCAGAAGTTCTCAGAGCCCTGATGAACTCCAGAGCAGTCGCAGCATCCAGACCTCTCGTGGCATTATCCCAACATTGCAGTCTAGCACCAGCAAGAGACACCTCAGCGATGGAGACTCTCTTTCTCTCACCACCGGAGACACCACGAACCAGTTCAGAGCCAACTCTGGTGTTCTTTGTATGAGATAGACCATACGTAGCCATGTAGACATCTGTCAAACAAGAAGCGTAGTCCTCCCTGGTGACACCTGGGATTCTGTTCTCTGGAGTTCTGAATCTTGCAGCATGGAACAAGGTCTGTCCAACAGTCAAGTGAGGAAAGTGGATATCGGCCTCAGCATTGTAGACGATTTCACCTCTGAAGCTGGTCTTAACATCATCCTGGGTCAGACCATCATAGGTGATCTCTGCTTCCTCGCCGATATTGAAACCATGGGTGTAGCCGGCAATGGACTTCAAGAGTGTGGTACAACCTGAGCCTGGTCTTCCCAAGACAACCAGGACTTCACCTGGTCTGATAATACCATCCATGGACTTCAAGATGTCGAACTGAGACTGTTGCTTGACGGCTTCGGATGTCAAGTACTTCTTGATCAACGAGTTAGCAAATCTGTAAGGAGCGTTCACAGCATTGGCCTGGTAGTCTGCATCTGTAGCTTCACCAGTTGCCCTCAAGTTCTTGAAAGTTATACCCAGGGAATAGTTGTTGTAGTGTTCTGGATCTTTGTCCATCAAGGCCTTGAAGTTCTTGATCCAGTAGCGGGAGTTGAAGTTTTCACCGTTAGGATCCAATCTCGGGTCCAGCTCTTGCAAGTTTCCCTCCATTGGATTAACACCAGGAGCAATGGTCGACACTCTTGAGACACGATCCCAATTGTCATTGTCGTTGACAACAGAGCCGTTGTTTGCAGACGCCAAGGACTTGTTTGTAAAGTGTCTTGCAAGCTCTTGCACTTGTTCATGAACCTCACCTGTGAAGCCTTCATAGGTCACAACGTCTCCGCCCTCATCGTGGTGGAGATGCTCACCACCTTCACATGTAGCACTAGACATTGTGAATACGAGTTCGGTGCTTTAATTACAATGAAAGATAAACAGAAGAGGAGAAGAGACAAGAGGAAAACAAGAGAGGTGCACAAAGCAGACACTGGGATGGATATACGCAGCCATTTCCTTGTTTATATACATCCACAGGGTATGCTATCCCTTGAATCTGGCTTATCACTTGAACCAAAGTCTTCCCCCTCCAAACTCACAGCACAAGTAGCCCACACTCAAGAAAATACGTACACACACCGCATATGTTTACACCAACACTCAGCGACCTCGGGTTCCGGCTAATCCTCCTTCCATTCCCTAGAAGCATGCCTGTATTCCTGGACACATGTGTGTATACGACGCTGAGTATTAATAATAAATCGTCTTTACCCTTCCCATGTTGACGGGAAAGCACGCTGTGCATTAGGTTTGACGAAATCAAAACAAACAACATGCACGTTTCGGCGTTATGACAAACCTAAAGTAATTTCACCAGGGAGCCCTGTTCAGCATCGGGGAGCTGGGGCTCAACAGTGGATGGAGAGGAATGTATGGACAGAGCGAGTCTCAGAGAAGAGGGTTTCGGGTTCGGGATGGTGTTGGTTGGTGTGTTCACTGGTGGTGTTGCGCCAATTGATTTGATGCCAAGTTGTGTTGAGGCAGAGAAGATTAAAGGCCGGCAAGCACCGAGGCTGCACTTACGGGAATGTCAGCGCAAGGGCAGAAAGGGTCTTGAGAACAGAGAGGGGGATGGTGAGGAGGACGTGTGTTTAGTGTCGTATGGCTATGGCTGTGTGAATACAGTGTGGGAACTAGTGAGCGTGGCTGTTTCGTTCTACGGCGTATTTCGTTCTATTTCGAGCTACGCCACTTCTGGTGTCGGACATCAGGTAACGTTGGTGATAAAACCTACAAGGCGTTGGTTTGAGGCTACAGCTCATCGCACATACCTTTCAGAGCCTTCAACAGGTACACGTATGTAGTACCAGGCCATTCTTCTATGTGGCTGGCGAACGCTTATAATGCCAATGGTCAATTGTATGAATCCTTGGTGAGCTTAGCCCGGCAAAGCTGATCGAGTGCTCATTAGCCCAATCTCACAGTAATCCCGTCAACATCGAGAAAAAACCAACAACAACATCAACTGTTCCTTGTGCTACACAGAGCAGCAACGTGATAGAAGCATCTTCAATCTCGTTGACAAACAAACCTGCAACCTATCAAGCACATTTTACCCTCTCTGGTAAAAGTGCCTTTTCCAGTCGGACTGGAATGGCTACGCTTCATGCAAACTATGCAATCTTCATGTTCATACGTGCGTAACAAGCTTATACCCGAGGCGAGCCCATTGGCGATGCTAATTGGTTCCTGCTTCCTGTAAATAGGCTCACCATCGCTCCTAGTTCTTGCCATCAGAAAACCCTTGCAAAGCTTATCTCAACACTCGATAATAAACTTGCCTCGGGTTGATCCATGGGTTGCTCTGTTGCAAACTGTGGCGAAGTGTAAACAAGTTGAGTTATTTCTCAAGATCAAGGGTTGAAGCGTAATAAACACAGCCTTGCTTCTGATCATCGACCCACGGATGAATATCCTCTCAGTTATATAGCTAGCACATCTGAGATCACCAGTGAACACAGTAGTGCATCTAGTTGTATGTTTGAGGGTCAGCGTCCTCGTAGGTTCGTATTTAAAAGTCCTGCTGTTTGCACATACTTGTAGTTTTATTTGGATTTGTATAAAGACACCGGATTCACCAAAAGTATCTCAGGATGATTCAGCGAGGACGTTAGACAGAGACGATGCAGTCACGGGAGCACTTAAACAGCATACGCTTGCATTGTAAAGGCCAGGCCAGGACTTAGACCAGCTCCACGATGTGCTGTGTACACACAGAGGCCTTGCAATAAACTACAGTTATACACAACGGGTATCACTTATAGAAGTACTAGATGGAAGACACAACCTATCAACAAGTTGATCACATTAAAGAACTAAACAAAGATTTGGTATAGTATATATAAGACATTATCATAAACTTCAAGAAGTGGAAGACAACTTTTCAGCATCTGTTTCTGGTGATCTTTCACCCTTCTCTGGCTCCGCTCTTGGACTGCTTACGGATGCAGGTTGTTCATCTTTAACCCTGTTCTTCTTCTTAGGGACTCTTCTCAACCAATAGAGAAACACGGCTCCAACAATATCAAACCCAATGTATACAAAGAATATACCCACGTTTCTCCATCTACGCGAGTACTTTGAGCTGATGAGAGTCAAAAAGGCATTTGTACTGGACATTGGACACAGTTCACACTGGCTGCTTGCCTCCCCATTAACCAAGTATCCCGTTCCTGCAGCTTCCAGATATGGATCCAGATAATCTGCACATGTCATATTACTCATTGGTGGATTGACAATCTTGTACTCTTCAGTAGAACAGGTAACTGGAGCATTGGCCAATGCGTTTGATAAGAATCCATCAATATAGTATGTGAATGGTGACACTCTGTACATAAAGATCCAGAAACCTGGTAAAGCGTCAGGCCCAACAAGAACACCACAGAACGTTAAACAAAGAGTGAAAGACAACGTGGCAACCTGACCAGCAGAATCGGCTATCTCTAATGGTGATATACACAATTGACCAAAAGTTCCAACATAGACAAAGAACATACATGTGAAGAACCAGGCATACGCACCTCTCTGGTTAACTCTGTCTGTTGGTTCTGCATTATGGTAGAAACCAGCTGGGTAGTAAAAAACAAAGAACGACAAGGTTCCTAACAGGATGTTCCATGGAACTTCAGCAGTAAGTTGAGTCAGTATGAAAACCTTCCAAGAGAAAGTCTTTGATGGACGCTCTCTCACTTCATAAAGGTCTCTCTGGGCAACAAATTGAGGTAACTGCTGCTGGATAACAGGATTGAAGATAATCAAGAACATAAAGACAGCAAACATTTGATTTTGTAGACCTTGGATTGTCAGATCTGCATTAAAGAAGACAAAACCGATGAATATCGAAGATGAAACAGACAAGAAAAGCTTTGCCCAGATATAAGATGGTGTTCTCCACAACATTTGGAACACCCTCTGTAACACAACAATGAATTGGTACCACAGTGGAGCAGCGTATTCACTGGCATTAACAGAAGAATCATATGGTAACTTGACAAGCTCTCTTTCCATGGTGTTCAACTCCTCTAAAACCGATTTGCGCTCTTCAGATTCCATCCAGACTTGGTGATAATCTTGATTAGCATGAGAGCCAGGTGCCGCACCAATCAAACTAAGCATCCATTCTGCTGGATTTGCATCTGGAGGACATTTTGGCGAACCATGGTTTTCGAAGTAGTCGATCAATGTTTGACAGTGATCACCTAAATCACCAAAGTAGACAGTACGACCACCACTTGCAAGGAAGAGAAGTCTGTCAAACTCTTGCATCAAGATGGCTGAAGGTTGGTGAATGGTACACAAGATAGCCTGGCCATGATTGGCAAGCTTTCTCATCAACTGACAAATAGACCAAGCGGTTTGAGAGTCCAAACCAGATGTTGGCTCATCTAAAAACAAAAGAAGCTTTGGTTTAGCAGCAAGCTCAACACCAATTGTCAATCTCTTTCTCTGCTCAACATTCAAACCTTCACCAGCAACACCGACAACGGCATCAGCATACTTTTGCATATCCAAGATCTTGATCACTTCCTCAACGTATTTATCTTTATCTTTCTTAGAAACGGAATATGGTTGTCTTAGATAGGCAGAGAATCTCAGTGCTTCACGAACAGTAGCAGTAGCTAAATGCAAATCTTGTTGCTGAACGTAACCAGTAGATCTCTGGAAAGAAGAGTCTCTCAAGTGACCATTGACAAACATACTACCGGTGACAACACCCATGGTGACACGACTAGCGAGGACATCCAACAAGGTGGTCTTACCAGCACCCGATGCACCCATCAGGGCAGTCAGAGTACCAGGCTTGACCCAGCCATCGACACCAGATAGAATCTCACGGTATTCAGACTGGATCTTAATTGTGTAATGAACATCTCTCCAGTGGAAGATATCTGTACCAGCTTGAATAGCATCAACATTGACATCTTCTTCTTCAGGCTCAAGCGTGATATCACGCTCTTTACCAGCTTCAATATCATTCAAGGCCTTATCCTTCTTCAGTTTTCTCAGAGTAGAACGTTGGAACAGCAAGATCTCACCCTTCTGTTGTGCTGATTCGTTGTATTCAGAAAAGAACATGTAACCAGCTAGGAAGAAGATCATGAAACCAATAACGATACCAACGTTTCTCCATTTATGACCATTGCGGTATTGGAATGCTTGCTCAAGATAAATAGTTCCATTGACATACGTCTGACCTGCAACAGCACCAACAGCATCACAAATCCAAGAGTCTGGAGGTAGATCAGGATTGACAGCTGGACTTTGAGGAATGTACGACGAACATTGGAAAATTCTGTTGTGGAACTCGTTCAGCATCAAAGACTCAAAGGCATAAGCAATAGGGTCGATATAGTTAATCCATCTACACCATCCCAGCATATAATTGATGGGGACGATGAAACCAGTGAAGACAACAAGGGCAAGAAGAACAACATGCGCAGGAACGAGTGCTTGCGGTAAAGTTTTGAACATTGAACCAATAAGTCTAAAGAAGTGAGACATTGTTAACGTAGCCAACACGTTCACCAAAAAGTAGAAGAAGAAGTAACCAGGCTCACGTCTGAAATTAACCATAAAGTAGTAGATCAGGTTAAAGAACAAGGCGATAAATAACTTGGACGGGAACTGAGATATAACCGAGGATAGAGCTTCAGCAGAAGGATGATACAGACCATACTGTTTGTGCTTCTCCACAATCGGTCTACCTTCGAACAATGACATAATCTCCAAGAAACAAGAGAAACCGTTGAATAGCACAGCAAAGAATAAAGAAGCACCTCTATGGTAAAATGAAGACGTAGTGGACGGTAAGTTGTAGAAAATGGACGAAATGACCAAAGAAATCAAGGAGTCTGCTAATATAGAGAACAAATTATAACCCAGGTCATTCCTAATTCTTTGGAAGTTTCTCGTCAACAGATAACGAACCTGCATTGGGAAAGAAACAGTGTAAGGTGAAGACTTTCTCATGTGTCTAGCCTGTCTGGCATGTTTTGAAGCATAGAATTGCGTCGATTGATCGACACCGTTCAGTGCACTATCAACTTCTGCTATCAGCTCAG